GAGGGAGTGGCGGGCGAGGGAGCCGTCGATGCGCTCCACCAGCAGAGCGGCCGTGATGATGGACGTGCCGATGGTGCGGGAGGTGTTGCGGAGAGAGGCCACATCAGGCAGCTGCAGGCACGCCACCACACGCCCACGCCACACCTCCGAAGGCACCGAAGACGCCATCAATCAGTCACCACGAGTCGGTCACCAGATGCCGACAACCACCAATGGCCATCAGCGGCTGATTGATGCGATGGCTCATCCGCTACATGACGAACGTCGTGGCTGTCGATGGGCTGACGAACGAGAGATCTGCAGGCACAAGACCAGAAAACACTGCTGTTCAACTGATTGGGCTTCTTCTGCCTGTCTGACTTTTCTCGCACCCTCACTGAGTGGCTTGAGAGCTTCAAAGGCTTCACAGCGGTCAACATCGGCGAGGCCATCCCGTTTAGGGTTTAGGAGCTGGGGCTTAGGGCTAAGGGTTTCTTCTTGCAGCAGGGTTCAGGGTTGAACCCTACCCTTGACATCAGAGATCCGTCCTTTTCTCCTCTGCGATGACCGAACCCACCATTTCCCTGGAGGAGAGCAAGCCTCAGTTTGACTGGCCTGTTGGTGAGAACGACAAGGCCACTGTCTTACGCATCTGGTGAGATGCAAGCCGATCTGTGCACATCTATCTTGAGCTGTCTGTGTGTGCGCGTGTCCTGCAGGAACTTTGGCAAGCGCAAGCAGACCAACCCGCATGCCCGTGCGTTCTGGGCCGCGACGATATCCTTCTTCTTTACCTTCGTCGGATGGTCCGCACGCAGGACATCGGACCAGGGATGCATGATGCCAGATCTTCGTGCTTGGTTGTGTGCGCCTGTCTCATTGATTCACTCAGGTTCGCACTTGCGCCTCTCATGCCGGCCGTGCGGGACTCCATCGGCATCTGTGACGAGTACACCGAATATGGCACACAACTGATGTGCGTGTGCGGTCCCAAGTGCAGGGACGTCCTGCAGAACGCAAACATATGGTGAGCTGTGCAGCACAAGCAGAGCATCCACGCACGTGGACGTCTGCTGTCTGTCTGTCTGTCTGTTGTCATGTCTTTCTCCGTTGTTGTCGTCCATCAGCTCTGTTGCATCCACGATTGGTATGACGGTGGCGACGGGCTTTCTGCTGGAGAAGTTCGGCCCGCGCGTCGTGCAGTCCGTGTACATGGCCCTTTTTGCCATCCCCGTCCTATGCGCGGCTTTCATCGTCAACGGCGCCGGCCTCGTCGCCGTGCGGTTCTTCATCGGCGGGGTGGGGGCCACCTTTGTGACCACCCAGTTCTGGTGCTCACTCATGTTCGCACCCAGCGTTGTTGGGACCGCCAATGCCACTGGTCAGTGAGATACATGGACACTGACTGAGACCAGCCTCCACGCAGCAATATTCCCTCCTGGTTTGTGTGTGTGTGTGTGTTTCGCGCTGCATGAATACAGCTGCCGCGTTGGGCAAGTTGGACGGTGGTGTGACCCAGTTTTTGATGCCGAGTATCTTCTCGGGCTTTGTGGAGGCTGGGCTGAGCGTAGGCATTGCGTGGAGGGTGTCAATGGTCGTCCCAGGCGTCATCTTTGTGCTCGTCTCGCTAGTCGTCTGGTTCTCCTCGCAAGACACGCCCCACGGCAAATTTCATACATCCATGCTCGGCAAGGCCAATACATCTCTGTGGGACTACGTCGAGTGAGTGCATACGAAGCAGGAGGGGGAGAGGGACGTCGCCGTGTGTCCGTTGTGTTGTTCAGTTGTGTTCTTCTTGCAGGGCTCTGAAGGACTACCGTGTTGTGTTGATGATGCTGCAGTATGCGGCTTACTTCGGGACTGAGCTGCAGCTCAACAACCAGCTGGTGCTCTACTTCCACGACTTCTTCCAGCTCCCCGTGGAGCTTTCCGGCCGTGCTGTCAGCGTATCTTTGGCCGTTATGTTGGATAACTTTATCGGACCACTCGTGAGTCAGTGGGTTGGATGCACTCAACTCACACATGCATGCAGTCACCCACGAACACGCCGTTTGCTGTGTTGCGTGTGCTGTTTGTTTGGTGCGTGTTGGCTGGCGTGCAGGGCGGCGGTCTGTCTGACTTGAACTTCAAAAAATGGGGCATGCGGGGCCGCTTGTGGATTCACTTTATTTGCCTGCTGGTGGAGGGCATCATGCTCGTCGCCTTCGGGAGGGAGGGCCAATTCGAAGCCGCCATTACATGCCTCGGCGTCCTCGGTCTGTTCGTCCAGGTGAGAGCTGATTGCCCTCTAGTGACATGCACGTCGATGGGTGGATCATTGCATCGATGGTCTCTCTCCTTCCTTCCCTCTGTGTGTGTGCATGCAGACGTCTCAGGGCACTAGCTACGGCATTGTGCCTTTCATGATGCCCCAGCATCGTGGCATTGTCTCAGCGCTCGTAGCCGCGGTACGTAAGAAGACGACACGAAAGCTGCCTCACACCTCTCGTGAGTGTCTCTCTCTGTGCTGGTCTTTCTTGTTCTTTCAGGGTGGCCACTTTGGTGCGGTGCTGGCAGGCTTCATCTACAAGTATATCAAGGACGACCCGCGGATCCCATTTCAGGTTCACGGCCTGTGCGTCATCACCATCGCACTCACAGTGCCGCTGATGGTACATGCATACACAACAACCACTCCACTTCCTCACGTCTCTTTTGTCGTCGCACATACGTGCCCTTCTTCCTCGTTTTGCCACAGTACTGGCCCCATTTCGGTGGCATGTTCTGCAAGGCCAAGCCGGGCGCAGTCAACCCCCACATCAACTTCAGTCAAAGCAACAGCAGCATCAGGGTCGCCGACCAGTCCAAAAGCAGCTCCATAACGCCGTCAGACGTCCCGTCACCCGAGGACAAGACCTGAGGGGTGTATGTCGGTGTGCATGTATGTGTCGCTCGCTCGTCGTGGCGTCATAGTTTTTTGGCCTGTTCTGTTCGATCCTTCCAACACTGGCTAGTCGCAAACATGGGTAGAATGTGGTGTGTGATTTTGCTCGCCTTGGAAGGCAGGCGTGTTTTGAAAAGTCAGCAAGCAGCGAGAAGGGACATGTCGTGTTTTGTCAGCAAGCAGGCAAGTGCGTGTTTTTTGAGCCGATGTCGTGCATGTGTGTGGATCTGGATCTGCTTGGTGCGCAGGTTGATGGCACGAAAGCATCCATCCATCAGCCCATCAGCCGTGGTCCGGCGAGGTCGTGTGTGGGAGGGGGACAGGTTTATCGCTACGTGCATGTAATGTACACAGCAGCAGAGATTGATGGCTGACCCACTTTCCTATCTCTCTTGTGTGTCGCTTCGCCCACACTCGGGCAAAATCAGAGAGATGTTCTGTTGTATCATTCGTCGTGTCTGTGGGGTGGGATGGGCGCTGAGGTGTGTGCACAGCATTGTTGGCGTATTCATGAGTTGATTGCATATGGCTTGTCTCTGGGGGTGTCTAGTTCTCGCGTGTTTGTAGGGTGTGTGTGTGTGTCTCTCTCTGTGTGTGTGTGGCGTTCCAGCCTGATGGAGTTCTTTTTGGACGCTCTGTGACGCCATGTGACGAACTTGGGTGAGGTATGCCGGGTGGCGGTGAACGGCTGGCACATCCGCCGCATCAGATACTGGGGGGCGGCCGTGTTCCACGAAAAGCGGGACGGATGGCATTGCCGGCTGGTGGTGGTAGGTAGTGAGGCGATGGTGCGAGGGGCACATGACGACCGTTTGCCTGCATTGCTGGGGGGCTTTGCGTCATGGTTGGATCTCCACGACCGAGTGGGCCCCCACAAACAGACGCGCACTGTCGTGATGATGAGAGTGCTAGCGGATCAGCTGGAGGGCATGGTGTGGCGAAGGGAGAACGAATAGAGGGAAATGGGTGGCAGGACGGGTAGTTAAGACTACGATTGCTTGAGGGTGAGACAGACAGACAGACAGACATATCGACAGCCAAGCAACAACTCTCCCTCTGTCTGTCTCTGCCTGTCTGCGAAGCGCATCTTGTGTGTACTGTGCGGTGCCTTGCATTGTCTTGACTCTCTGCCGTGGACGGTTAATGGCATGTGTGAGGCGAATGTATGGCGTGACTTGCGTTCTCATCGCCTGTGCCTTATGTGACTGGACAGTAGCAAACAAACACTGGAGTCTTCGGAGTACAAGCAGTGATTCAACTCTTCGTGTGTGCACTCATTCATGTGTGAGTGGACGCATTGGGTTAAAACGACAATCGTATGTCTCGTCTTTGCGGTGGGACAAAGGCTGATATTTTTCCGTCTGTGAGCTTTTCTTTGCCCATCTATCCTTATGCACCGAAGCGATGTTCCGATGGATAAGCGCCAGGATTGGTTTGTGTGTGTGCGTTGTGAATGAATGAATGTAGACTACCTCATACCCATCGGCGCAACCTGACGAACACTATAATCAGGCCTGATGCGGCTTCATATACCTTTACACTCACCGCCGCACTGCACCCACAGATTGATAAATAACGCATTCACTCGTCTGTCTGCCACTGAGGGTGAGAGACACGAGCAGGCAGGTAGACAGGCAGGCAGGCAGGCAGACAGTCAGACAGACGGACAGACACAGACACAGAGAGATGCAGACAGACAGACGTATGTGTGGGAGACAAAGATTGGTTGCCGCATGGTCCGCTTCTTGACTGCCTGCCGTTCTTGATGGACGATCAGATGCACATACAAGTGAACACACCACCACACACCCTGCACCGCACAGCATCGGACGTCGACACGCATACACCGATAAAACCTCTATCTGTCACTTCTTGCCTTCATCAACAGAATGCTAGATCCGTGAAAGATTTCACAGAGGGCCGCTGCCAGCGATAGAGGCGCTTGCTGTACGGTGTGTCAATAGACGACACGCTGTTTAATGTCATCACCATCTCGCGAGGCCCCTGTATGGGCTGCAGTTCCCTGTGAGCGACAACAACAACTGTAAATCACCAAGAGACGCAGGATTGTTTGATGTGGCAACGCGTACTACTGAAGTGTGTGCCCACATTGAAGTCCACACATAATAAGGACACGCTATTTAATATTATGACGGTCACAAAAGGTCCCCGTATGGGCTGTAGTTGACTGTGAAATCGACAACGATAACTGTAAATCACCAAGAGACGCAGAATTGTTTGACCGGGCAACGCATACCACTTAAATATGTGCCCACATCGAAGTGCACACATAATAAGGACACGCTGTTTCATATTCTCGCGAGGCAGCGAATGGCAGCTATCCGTAGAACTGACCGTTATAGCTGATCATGTATGCATTGAAGCTTTGGCGGACAAACACATAATAAGGACACGCTGTTTAATATTATGACGGTCACACGAGGCCCTGTATGGACTGCAGTTGCCTATGAAAGCCATAGTGATAACAGCGAATTACGCAGACACGCAGGATTGTTTGTCGAGGCACCGCGTACCAGTCGATTGTATCTTCACACCAGCACCTTGGAAAATTAGGACAGGTTGTTGACTACCACTACCGTCACACGAGGCCGCCGCATGGGCCGTGGGTGGCTTGTGAAAGCTATAGTGACAAGCGTAAATAATCACGAATGGGGCCGGTAGCAAATCGTTTTGCGAGCGAACTCGCTTTGAGGCCTTGAAATGAGAGAAAGAACAGTGCTGAACCTTTAATATATGCATGACAATATATAGTCAACAGTTGTCGGCACCAAAAGTACTTCCCACCTAACCACCATGCATTGCATGCATTGCTCAGGCGACCAGCCCCGTAGCCAGCTGCCAGGCTTATAACCTGGGAATAGCCTAGGCTGGCAGCTGCACAATCCTTTCTTTCCAATCTCTCTGTCAACCATGGCACACACACAATCCAGTCAGTCACGTCGCCTATTCAAACCCACTTAGTCCCATTCCACCACTGTGCTCACACAGACAGACCCTCCTCCACCAACACTCACCACTCACCCCTCACAGTAGCACCATCCCCCTCTCGATGACGTCACGCTCGACGCCGAATGCCCTCAGCACACGGCGGACAGCACCGACCGACTCGGGGAAGCGCTGAACGAGTGGATGAGACCGATCGGCCGCAGATCGCTCGGCTGTCCACATAGCGATGCGGCCGGACTCCACCCATAGAAAGGCGGCGACGGCCTCGTTTGGTCGGAAGCCACTCACTATCACATGACGATAGTCAGTCGGATTCGCATTCAGATCGCCCCAGTCGAAACGGAAGTCGACAGCGATGCCCTGATCCTCTGTGATGCCCTCGATCATTAGACGGCCATAGCGAGGGTCACGACGGCCGATATCTGCCCGCAGCACCTTCCTCACATTCACCCCCTCCTCGTGGGCCCATCGGTACAGCAGCGTGTGCAGGAGACATGCCGAGAATGAGGGGTACAGAAAAAAGCCCCAGCGGATGGCGGGGTCGGTCCCCCTGTAGCCGTTGGCGCAGCGATGGCCACCCGGCAGATCACCATATGCCACCACACGGAAGGTGAAAGTGCCAATCCGATAGGCCCCGTTGTCGGCCTGCTGCAGCGCCAGGCTGGTCCCTCCGTGTGTGAGGAGGTCGCCGAATGCTTTGTAGATGGCCAATGCGATCGGCAGCTGGTGCAAGGCCGTTGCTGTGGGCAGCGAGTCGGCCGACAGCTGAAGGGGCCGAGCCGTGTTGGCGGGGGTCAGCCGATGGATGAAGGCCAGCCGAAGGAACCGCCCCATCGCCCGCCACTCCTCACCGCTGCCCTGCTTCAGCAGCCAGACGACCCTCAAGCCGCCCTCCACGTCACCAGCAATGTCGAAGGCCAAGACGTCCTCCAAGCCAAGACGACTGATGGCCTTGTTGATGTGCCGCTGGACGCCGTTGAGCAGCGTGCTGGTGACGGTCGCCGAGGTGTGGCCCAGCAGCTCCTGCTGCCGAGTGAGGGTGACGATCTGTGAGCGGAGAGCGGCTCGCGTGGCATCGTCAGTGGACATGGCCATGCGGGCCATCTTGCTGATGGGCAATGACATGTCAAAGAGCTCGGCGGGCTGGAAGAGGGGCTGGGACGAGGGCGCTGCACCAGTGGGCCGCATCAGTCGTGGCTGTGGAAAGGTCTCAGAGAGGCGTGATTTGCGTGGGAGATCTGCAGGCACACAGCAGACACAGAAAGGCATCTGGTTTTTGGCATTTCTGGCTGCCATCTTACCCTCACTGAGTGGACCGAGAGGCTGCAAAGACTTCCGTCTGCGAGCTGATCCATCTGCGAGCTTAGCATGCAGGCCTCTCCCTTTTCCCCTACATTTCCTCTGACAACGGGGCCGTGTAGAGTGTGTGGGAGTTGCCCAAAGAGCTGTCGTGATGTCATCGGTCCACACAGATGCCGCCGCCCATCTGTCTGAGTGATGCTCATCTGGCTCATTGAGGTGAGAGAGGACAAGCAAGAGGGCCTGATGCATGAGGGATGACAGTCTGTGTGACCTCTGTGTGTCTGTGGAAGATCTGTCACTCACAAGGTCTGCTGCTCTCTCTCTCGTGTGTGGCAGCGAGATGAACGGTCAATCCCCAGGATGCTTCGCCGGCATGTTCAGTGCCTGGCGATGGCTGACAGGCCTGTTCACGGTGAGGCCAGCGAGAAAAGAAGCACCGCATGCACAACTGATGCCTGTCTGTGCCACTCTGTGAGCGTTGCCAGATGCCGGTTGCTGCTCGTAATAGGGCTGGCACTTGTAGCACATCATCGGCTGCGTCTGCTGCCAATGGTAACCCAACATGTTCACTGCGGAAAGACACAATCATGCAGACGTATATAATGTGTGATGGTCTGTATGTACAAGTGTCTGTGTGTGTAATGGTCACAGGCGGCAATCAGCGAGAGGGCGTTCCCTTCGCTGCCCTCCCTGCTGAAGTGACGGCGGCCATCGCCCAGTGCCTCAGCAGCTATGCCGACTTGTGTGCCTTCCGCCGCATCGACAAGAGCCGCCATACCGCCCTCTCACACACCGTCCTGCTGCCCATCCTGATCCGTCTGCTGCCTATTGTGGCGGCGTCACTCGGCCTCGGTGTGTTGGTGGAGGTGCCCGTCCCACAGCTCACTCAGGGTGTGGCCGTCACGGTGGCCCTGACCAGGGCCCTCATCGAACAGCTCAGCCGCCGGCTGTTCATGCTCGAGAGGGGCGGCAGCTGGGCCAGATGGAAACCTGTGGTGGAGATGCTGTATCTGCTGAGAGGCAAGAGGCCACTGGTGCTGAGGGATGACAACTTCGGCGTCTTCGGCAGCCGGGCGGCCTTCATGAGTGAGACGGAGGCGGTCCGCCAGTGGAAGATACTCAGCTGGGGGGCCACTGTCAATCAGGGAGGCCAACAGAGACCCCTGATGGACGGCGACTCGATTCTAAACCAGTGGCCCGGCTATCAGCTCCCCTCCCTCCTCGACTCTGCCAGCCCCCTCTTCCCTCATGCACCATTCGACCCCGCCGACCCACACACACAGCTGGACGGCGGGACGTACCCCAACTACACGTCCATGGTGGCCTTCATTGTGTTCGACCGGCTTGATGAAGGGAACCACATCAATCGCATCAGACACTGGTCGTCTTACTGTCGTGCCTCTGCCGCGTACTTCCGTGCGGGTGATCGGCTGACGGCCTCTCACAGCGATGCGGCACAGTGGGGGGCGGCCGTATTCGACCAAAAGTGGGAGGACGGATGGCATCGCCGGCTGGTGGTGCTGGGCAGTGAGGCAATGGGCGAGGGGCACATGGCAGTCATTCGGCTGACACGGACGAATGGACGACGTGTGGAGATCTTCACGACCGAGTCGGCCCCCCACGACCACACGCGCACCGTTGTGATGAGAGTGCTGGGGGACCACCTGGGGGGCATGGTGTGGCGGCAGGAGGATGAGACGTGAACGCCTAGCAAAACAGACAGATAGTGCCGATCGTCGTTTTTAAGCAGGAAAGAGAGAGAGAGAGAGAGAGAGAGACGGGCAGACAGGCGATGTGCCGTCCCGTCATGTGACGTCAACTGTGTTCATTGCACGCTTGAATGAAGAGCATATGCCCGTGTTTGTGTGTGTGTGTGTGTTGTGAAGTGATCAAGACTGCTCATGCACAAGACAATTAGGTGTACATGTACTGCATGAGTCAGTCCATCGGTCAAACTGTATCCATGACATCGATCCCCTTTCTGCACATATGATGCTCGATGTTTACTTTCTGCACACGGCCCCGAATAGGGCGCGTAGAATCTGCCGCCTCGACACGCACACACAGGTAGGCTGCACCGCTCCGTCCCCCCACAACACACGCACAGACACAGATACACACACCCGCACTGCACGCCCTCTCTCTGTCTGTGTCTCTCTCTCTCTTCAGCGACGGGCTTCTGTGTCTTTCAATCAGGCCTGGTTGAGGGACAAATAAGTAGATAGGAGGGAGGAGAACAAACAAAGACCAAAGCAGGAGACACATTATGTGTGCTGTGTATTGTCGGGCTGTGCGTGTCTCTCTCTCTCTCTCCTTTCCCTTGCTGTCGCACAGACAGACACACACACAGACACACACACGGACAGACAGAGAAGACATCGACTCTGGCCAGAGATTCGGTCCAGTTCGGCTTGAATCGAGGTGTCCAGTTCTGTGTTCTGCGGAAGACAGACAGACATCCATGCATTGCATCTGTCCCAAAAGTCCCATCTAACTAACGCCCAGAAACTCATATTATCCATTACAGGCGTCTGTCCGTCTGCTGGCCTGCCTGCCTGCCTGTCTGCCTGCACCTATCTATCTATTATCCGTATCTCCTCATTAGCTGCCTAATGCGCGGGTGGCCCAAAGCACAATCCCACGGAGTCTTCCCCTACACGCGACGCGACAGGCAGCAATGTGTCTGCATATGGATGGATGGATGGATGGCATTGATGCGCACCTCATGGTTGCTGATTCTGAGCAGAGGCAGGTCTTGTTCTCCGCCCCACTTCAGTAGCTGCTCTACAGTAGCTGTGTTGTTGAAGTGGGCTGCAGTGTGCAGCGCCGTGTTGCCATCCTGTCAAGAAATGGATCAAGAAGAGAGGTCAGGTCGGTCATGTCTCTTTCTGCTGTGGTCTGGCTTACGAAGTCTTGTTGTGTTAGGAACTCGGCAGCTTTCCCCTTGTTGACATACATCAGCTGCGCGCACGCACGCACGACAAACAGACAGACAGACAGACAGAGGGAGAGACACCAAGTCAACGATCCAATCAATCAAGAGAGAGCGGCCATGAGAAGGCCTAGGATGCATGTCTGTTGACCTTCATGCACGGCACATGATCAAACGTGGCAGCCCAGCCGAATGGCGTGCAGCCATACTGCATGCCATGCGCGAGACATTCACATACACATATATTCGGGGCCGGGCGTATTCTTTGTGTGTTTGTTCCGTACGCACAATGTCCCGCGCATCGATCATGCTGTCGTCCCATGCCATCAGCCGACCGACAGCCGCAGTCTTCCCGCTGGCCGCCGCCATGTGCAGTGGCGTCCGGCCATTCTGCACTCACTCACACACGTGTGCATAATCGACCAGCTGCCTACTGCTCAGTGGTGGCTGCTCACAATACTCAGCTGCTTCAGTATTTTCAGGCCGTATCGCGAGACAATCTCACGCATGATGTCCAGATGACCTGCAGGACACACACACATCGGCGGAAGGTTTGTTTGTCGATCTCTTATAAGCATGCACGACCTCTATCGGCAGCCCATAGAAAGGCTGTGCGGAAGCAGCCCAATCCAAGGGGCAAAATGCCGCTTTCGTCGCGTGTGTCGAGGATTTTGAGGCCGTGGACGTCCAGCATCTGAATGAGGACCTCAAGATCCCCAGCTCTCACCACGTCGAACAGGTCATGCATGCCTGGGAGCGGAGCGGCTTACTTCATTCCACAACCAACCTGACTGACAGACAGGCAGACAGAGGGGCGGACGTCTGGACAAACGAAGCGGAAGTCCAGTGTCACCTTGCATGACGAACCTTGGCCTCGAGGGATGAGTCGGATGTCTTAGCTCGCCTTGGCCCCCGGGGCCCCCGCTCCCCCCGTGGTTTGTCTTTCATTTTGCATCCACAAAGATCCCAAAGGCATCCCATCCATTGACCTCTTGCTTGATGGTGACAACACATCGGACCCGCATACGTACACAACACGCAGAAGTGCCGTCTTTGCCTGCGTCTCTGTCGCAATTGATGCAGGTCGTCTCAATGATTCCGAAGGCACGCGTGGTCCTCCTTGCCTGTGTGACTGTACATGTGGCCGCCATTGTGGGGCTCTGTGACTCCTTGCGCATCCCCGTCAAGAATATTGGTAGGTGGGCACTCACATCAATGCGCTGTCACAGCTCGGCATTTTCTGTGCAGCCAGCCGGCGGGCGGCGTTGACGACCGGAGAGGGGTGCAAGAAGGACAACGACTGTGGTAAGGGCCGAAAGTGCTTCGAGAAGCTGTGGGACTTCGGAACAGGCGGCAAACTGGAGAGCCCCGTAAAAGCCTGCAAGGTGAGCCGTTTTTTCTCTCGTGCATGTCTGTCGGTCGGGCGGTCGGTCGCTCTGTCTGTCTGTCTGCAGGAGAAGGGAGATCCCGGGGACGAATGGTACCTGCAACCACACACACACACACAGACACACACACACAGAAAGAGGGAGAGACAGAGAGAGAGAGACGCAGGCGGGATTCTCACAGTCACGGGTTGCCTCCATTCGGCCACCGGTGCGGCGATGGGTCGACGTGCCTGGTCAAGGAGGGGCTCAAGGGCAAGCAGATCTGCTGGGAGAAGAAGCACATCCAGGAAGGCATCGGCATCTCAGGCAAGAGCAAAGGCAAGTAGGGCAGTAGTGTGCACCATGATGATGATGATGTCTCGCCTTGATTGAGTGAGCCACGAGCTACTAGCTGCATGTACCTTCGCGCCGACTTCATTCACGTCACGCAGCACTTACCTTCCTCAAACACTCTTGAATGCACTGCACTGGGGCCGGCGCTATGATGTAAAGATGTTCGTTGACGGAAGTACTGTAAGTCGTGGCAATGAACGAGCAAACGATATGTATGTATGTATGGTACACGCAGGCAGGGCAGGGCAGGCAGGCAAGGGAATAAGAAGGGCAGCACGACAAGGAAGGATGGCAGCAAAACTGTCTGAAGTATGTCTTTCACGCCAATCAATATACGGTAGGTCAAAAACACCCTAACGATCACGTCAGATGTCTACACACATCTCGTACGTACGGACACAGATGCCGATCGATCGATCGATCGGCATATCAGCTGTTGTTGAACTCTTCGCGGAGGTTCTGCGCCAGCTGCTCGGTGTCCTCGGGACGCACCACCTCGATCTGCACACACACACGAACGACACACGCCAGCCTCTCTCTCTCTCTCTCTGTGTGTGTGTGTGTGTGTGGTTCCTCTCACCCACCTTGTAAGCGATTTGTTTCGCCCTGAGGAAGCTGAATGTGTTGTCCCACACGAACGTCACAATGCCGTCAGAAGCGAACGTCAGCGAGCCTCGCAACGCCCTGGGTGCATCCGAACGTCAACACACCAATGTTCATGTGTGTGTGGTGTGGGATGCGAGAAGACCTTTCGGATGAGTGTCTGGCGTAGTTGAGGAGGGCTTTCTCCTCGACAGACATGCTGCCCGGCACCTGATCGGTGCAGAGAGAGAGGGGACTGATTGTGTGGGGCGCTGTAGGTGTGTTGTCTGAGTGCGCACTCACGGTGGTTCTCATGTTGATGGTGAAGCCGACGTCCATGGCCATGACGCCCCACGCCCAATAAATCGTGTGCCCAGAACGCACCTACACACATGGAGAGGATGGACGAGCGAGCATGTGTGGACTCGACTGACTCGTGTGTCTATCTGATGTGATTCTCACCTGGTAGGGCACTTGCAGCTTCTTGCCCGCGGCGATCTCGGCGGTGATCTTGCCGCTCCCCAAGGCGAACCTGCACATACCATACACACATTGACGGGATGGATGGATGGATGTGTGTGTGTGTTAAGCCACCGGTCTTCCTCGAGCAGTCCGGTTTTGGGCACGTCAGCGAGGGGCGACGTGCTGGTGCCGCCGAGGAATGGGGGAAGGTTGGCACTGAAGGCAATCAAATCAATGTGGCGTTGACCCGTCCCAGGGGACGGAGTGTGTAAAAGTGTGTGTGTGTCTGTGTCTGTGTGTGTACCTGTCGACACTCTCAAAGACGGTCTGCTCGAACTCACTGCCAAGAATGGCCACCTGCACACACAACACACACACACACACACACTCTCAGAGATGGATGGATGGATCTGTGTCTGTCCACTTTTTCGAGTGTCCGCGGCCGCATCCACCGCGAGATGCCCTTCCAGAAAGTCGAAAACATCCTAGAAGCAGCCGATACGATAGACGCATACACATCCGTCTACCCCTTTTTCTCCCCCTGTCTGTCTGTCTGTCTATATGTCTGTTAGTTTGCTAACGTACACACCATGGTGTGTTGATGATGAGTATCTTTGCGACGCCCTCCGGGTAGTTGTCACGCGCAGTGCCCATGGTCTTCTGGGCCAACCTACACATAAGACACACATACACAGAGAGAGAGAGAGCGAGAGAGAGAGAGAGAGAAAGAGAGAGAGGGAGAGAGAGAGGGAGAGAGAGCGATGGATGAATGGACAATGGACACATAATGGATAATGGGTCTGTGCCAGGGGGTGTGGTTTCTTTACTTAAGCGCCTGGCGCGAGATCTGCCGTATTGACAGACCGGCCATGTCCTGAATGAGGGTCACCTTGACCACTCGACGCTCAGCACGGGACAGCCTACAGACACACAGACAGACACAGACACACACACACACACACGCACGCACGCACACAGACACGTACTTCTTTGTTTGATGCATGTGTATGTGGGTCTGATGGGTGGGCCCTCAGCTAACCTGTCGAGTGTGACGGATCTGAGTTCCATGCTGTAGATGTGCCACTTGTCGAAGACACTGTCGGGCACGTTCGTCAGCACCGATGAGATGTCCCACTCACCTGCACGCGGGGCGCGGCGCACACACGGCCATATATCCCTCCCTCCCTCCCTCCCTGTGTGTGTGTGTGTGTCTCTGTGTGTGTAGGTTAGCTACCATATCTGTCGATGGCCAGGAGGTTGCCCTTCTTATCCCGAAGGTACTCGCCCTTCTCGTCTCTGTCAACGTTGGGTGTGTAGACACACACGACACACGACAGACACCGACACATGAGATCCGATGAGTTCATTCGTGTGTCTGCTGATCTGATGAACCGACCTGAGGGCTTGGTTGAGTGGCAGATATTTGACCACTTCCTGGTAGCCCGGCACCTCCTCGGGACAGCCGATGCGCGCGGCGACGTCCTACACACACACACATACACATGCAGTGAGGATGCACTGTGTGTCGGGATGTCTGAACGCGCAAACGGACACAAACAAACCTGTCTGATTTCGTCGACGCCGTTCTGCTCTCGCCACTCGATGTGGGCCCTGTACCTGCACAGACCCATACACACACACACACACACAGTCCAATGGACAGACAGACAGACAGACAGACAGACAGGCACGCAAGAAGGCATTCGTTGCTTACGCGCTCTCTGCGTCATCGAGATTGTTCATGTAGCCGCGGAGAAACCGCAGCAGCCGGATGTCGCCTGCACGGAAATAATGCACAGAACGAGAAAGCATCCTTGCATCCACCAATCCATCCATCCATCCATGTGTATGTGTATGTGTGTGTGTGTGTCTGTCTGTGTGTGGTTTGCCTTTGAGCTCAGGGAATTCGGGCAATTGGGACAATACGTCAGCCAAACGATGCTGATTGACAGAGCGAGTGCGCACACAACACATGAATGACAACACACCGAATGCTCTCTCTGGCTGCATACACACACGCACTTTCATATTGGCCACATTGATGATGTCCTCCTCGGTGACGTCAGCCAGCGAAGCCAAGGCACCACCACCACCTGCACTCACACAAGGCCCACAGACACTCAAGATACAATGCAATATGTGATCTGATCTAGTCGCTCTCACCGCCAGACGGCGGCGCAGCACACGAAGGGGCGGGGCCTCTGCACACAGACGCATATAGATCCACATCCCTCTCTCTCCGTCTTCGTGTTTGGGTGCCTACGCATCGTCGGCGGGGGGCGGCAGTGGCGGGGCAGACGAGGCGTCATCCTGATCCTGATCCTGGTGCCCTTCAGATTGACTGGCACAACCAACCATCACAGCACAGCACACACGAACGCATCAAGCTTCACCTGAAGGGAGATGGCAGAGTGTTTGCGTATCCAATCCACTTACTGCATCACTGGTCGTGCGACGGTTTCTTGGTTCTTGTTAGGGCTCCCACCGCCGCCCTCTCCACTGGCAGTGTCCTCGCCCGCCCCGGACGACTGCATCTGAAATCACTCTCTTCGCTGTGACAACAAAAGGGGCTGACCGCTTCGGTCTTGAAAATAAGAGATCTCGAGCCCTCTCCTCAGTCAGCACCAAACAAGGCAAGAAACGTCCAAAACCCGAAAGGCACTAGTTAGAGCGGAGACCGAGTTACACGCGCGAGATCTACGAGACATGACTTGTGATGCGCGTGGACCCAAGCTTGCGTGTCCATGAGACCTCCGTCGTCACTGAATGCTTCTTTCGGCTTCGTCACATTCCTACTCGCTACCCCGAGCTACTGCTGATACTCCAACTGCACTTCCGCTGTTTTCGCGAAAGCTCGCAATGAAGCTCGCGTTCAAGGAGAGAGCGAGAAGAAGAAACGGCGAAGGAGTGTGGCTGAGAAGCTCTCATGTGCCCGAATCATCCATAAATCATCGCCAATTGGTCGTCATGTGAGCCCCTTGAAGAAGAGAAGTGTCATGTACGTCCCAGCGGGCGTCTTCTACCAACCCCCAGCGGCTCACGCGGCTCATGCGGCTCACGCGGCCCATCCGACGCACCACACGGTGTACACTGGCTGTCCCGTCGCTGCGCCGTGCATCCACCATCACCAGCCTGTGGCCATTCAAAGTCATGGGTATTTGTATGCGCAGGGCGGCGGCGTTTATGCGTCTTCCCACCAGCAGCAGCACCACCAGCAGCACCAGCAGCAGCAGCAGCAGCGGCAGCAGCAGAAGGAGCAGGTGCATGCGCATGCACCTGCACCTGCGCCTGGACACGGCAATGGGAATGTGACTGCACACACACACGGACATGCACCTGGTGTGGGCGTGGGCGAGAGGGGTAAGGAGAAGGAGCTGGGCGACTTGCTGGGGCAGACCGTCAAGACCTCAAAGTAAGAGAAGGACCGGAGAGAGAGAGAGAGAGAGTACACACATCTCGTGTGTGAGTGTGTCCATTGATCCATCCATCAGGGATTACTATCGGTTCGAGTTGATGCTGCAGAAGGCCATCTTTGGAGCCGTCTTCCAGGGCTACTCGCGGTGGGGTTGGCAACCACTCCACACACACGCACACACACACGTGTGTGTGCATCCGTCCATCTGCCTTGACGTGTGTGTCTGTGTCTATGTGTCTGTGTGTAGGTCCAGTCTGACCCCGTGTGCCATCAAGGTGGTCGACAAGCAGGCCATTGAGGACCAGCTTGAGTCACTGGTAGGTCACGGTCTGTCTGTGTGTGTGTGGCACATCGTGTGTGGATGCGATGCAGCGTACGAGTGAGGACCCCTGGGCAGAGGTCAAGTATTGTCAGCGTATGCAGGGGCACCCCAATGTGCTGACCTTCTTCGACGTGGCACAAGACGCGGACTACGTCTACATCATCATGTAAGCAATCACAAACACACAATCACACTCACACACACACACACAGAGAGAGAGAGAGAGAGACCTTCGGAGTGTGTGTGTGGATTGGGGGTCTGCTGTCCTGTCAGGCCACTAGCTGAGGGTGACGATCTGTTTGAGGTTCTGCGCAGACGGGACGGCGCTTTCAGGTAAGTGCCTCGCACGAGACTTGTGTGCATGTCGATCACGTGTGTGTGAGTGTGTGTGGATGCAGTGAGCCCGAGGCGCGTTGTCTGTTTTCTCAAATCATCGATGGCGCACTGTTTCTCAAAAATCGCAACATTGGGTGAGAAATGAGCCCATTCGCACACAGAGAGGGAGAGGGAGAGGGAGAGGGAGAGAGAGGGGCGCCTTGTGTCTGTCTGTCTTTTGTGTGCTTTCGTAGTTTCCGTGACCATTCTTTGGAGAACATATTGCTCTTTCTCAATGAGGACCACACAGTCTGCCCCAAGATAACGGACCCCGGCCAAGTGACCACCGACAGCACTCACACATACACACCCTGGATTGCCGTGTGCGCGCACTGCAGGCGATCGACATAGAGGTGTTGCCGGACGGCTCCGTCAAGAAAACTGAGTTCGAAAAGTCATTTGGGAAAAGGTCCGTCCGTCAGACCGCACTCGCACATTCTCGCCTGGACGTTGATCATCCTGTGGTGTGGCCGTCTACAGTTTTCGGCCGCCAGAGGTGTATGATTCGAAGCCCTATGACGCAACCAAAGTCGACTCTTTCTGCATCGGTCGGTACGCCGGGAGAGATTCACACACATCATGATGATTCACATGCATGTGTGTGTGTGTGTGTGATGTGTGTAGGGTGGATGCTGTGGAACGTGCTGACCAAGTGCCAGCCGTTCGAGAAGGCCACAGAGGAGGACCCCTACTGGTCGGCATCCCCCCTCCCCCTCCCCCTCGCCCTCCCCCTCCACACACATTGATGGATGGATGGATGGATGGGTGTGTGTGTCGGTGCAATGCATTGGATTGCAGGTCGTTGTTTGCTTCCCGCCGGTACATCGAATTTATCACCATGCGCAACGGGGCCCACCTCACGGTCGGCCGTCACACGTTTGTGCTCGCCACGCCTGTGTGTGTGCATCTATGTGTCTGTGCGCATCTATGTGTGTGTGCAGCCGAACTGCCACCACTTTCTTTTCAACATGATGCACCCAGACCCTGAGCAGAGATTCTCCCTCGAACAAGTAATTAAGAACACACAGTTAAGAACACACAGACGTGTGTGTGCGTGCACTCGTGCGCAGCGATATGTAGTGTGTGTGTGTCTGTTTGTGTGTGTAGGCCAAGAACCACATATGGCTGAAGGGGGAGCAGTGTCCGGTGACTGTGCGGACGCTGTTCGGCCTCCCTGACATCGACATACGGCCGCCGCTCACACGTAAGCCATCCACACACACACACACACACACACAGAGAGAGAGAGAGAGATTCTGTGTTCCATTGTGTGCACCACAAAGGCAACAAGCGCATTTTGCCGATACTGCCCAAGTCCTCCTACAAACAGGACCATCAGTCCATCGCTCGCAGAGACACACGCGTAGGCCAAATGATGCCCTCCCCCCCTCCACACACACACACACACACACACACGTGTATGGTTTGTTCAGGTGAAGAGGCCCGAGAAGAGGGAGAGCAATGGCAATGGTGGCAATGGGCAGCAGCAGCAGCAGCAGCAGCAGCGTGTGTTGGAGAGCGTCCCGGCCGCATCGGTCGTCAAGAAAACTCACAACGATGAACACGTAACCACACCACACAGACGTTGTGATCAGACACACCATCTCTCTCTCTCTCTCTCTGTGTGTGTGTGTGTGTGGATGGACAGCTGCGCACCTCGACGGCCACGTCCACCCAGGTCGCCACCAGCATCACCCACACCAGCAACTCGCTCAACAGCGACGCACACACACTTGCCCACACACACCCACACCCACCGTCAGCAGCACATACGCTTTCGCGCATTCCAGAGGACGGCCCGCCACACACAGCAGCAGCAGCAGCAGCAGCAGAAGGAGCCGACAAGAAAGCCGCCGCTCTCTCGGCCCCATCGGCGCCACCAGTGCCCCCACTGCAGCTGCCCGGCCACACCGTCCACCATGCCCACGCTTCAATGATGCACCGGCGATCGCCGTCGAGCAGTGAAGATTCGAGCAGGGGCGCTGGCGGTGGTGGTGGCGGTGGTGGTGGGAATGGTGCAGGTGGTGGTGGTGTGTGTGGTGGGTCGCCGCAGAGCAGCTCGTCTGGGAGCAACCAAAGCAGCCCGAGTAGCCACACACAGACGCACACGGACCGACAGCTGATTCGGTACGTCCATTGGGATGCACACAATATACACGCGCATTGTGCACTTTCTCTCTCTCTCTGTGTGTGTGTGTGTGTGTGTGTGTGTCCGTGTGTGTGTTTGTAGGATGCCATTGGCCAACTACCCCGCCCCGCTGATGGATTTCCGCGCCTTTCATGTGCAGCAGCTGGTCGAGTCGGTGCAGGGACAGATCCTGCTCGCAAATCAGGCACAGGTGAGTGATTAGCCACACACACACACACACAACCACTGAAAGTGTATTGTGCAGGCCGTTGCGTCAGCCAAAGCGACGGCCTCTCTGCGTGTGGCCGGCCAGCAGCACCACCACCACCATCAGCAGCAGCAGCAGTCGCCCCCCCAGACGCTAGCAGCAGCAGCAGCAACGATGCCAGCGATGCCGGCGGCCCCGCCCCCTTCGCCCAAGTGCTCGCCCACGTGCTCACCGTTCGTCATGTGCAGACGCTCGCCCGTGCGGACGCGCAACGGGCCTGGGCAAGGGCAGCTGGTGGTGTCGCCGCGTGTGCATCAGCTGCAGTGTCTGTCGCCACGTGTTGGTGTGGGTGTGCCTTATCATCATCAGCAGCACCATCCTCAGCAGAATGTGGGCGGCAATCAGCAGCAGCAGCAGCAGAGTTATTCGCTGCGGACGACTCCTGAGAGAGACAAAGAGGAGGGAAATCGAGACGGTGCCTATGTTGCTCGTGGTGGTGGTGGTAAGCTGCAACTGCACGCTCCTGACTCTTTGCTCAAGTCTCGCCCCACTTCGCCGTTGCCGTCACCTCGATACACGGTAGAGGTCTATCGACTGCCGCTCCACGGTGAGCGAGTCCACTCACTACTCATCCAAGCTCACACAACTGCACACTGCTTGTGTGTGGTGTGGGCTGTAGGTTCTTTCACCTTTGTGCCTCCGCTGAATGTGCCAATGCCGGCCAACAATAGCAATGGGGTCTACACAACAACTGCCTCTGCTGCTGCTGCTGCTGCTGCACCACAAGGACCACCACCACAAGCAGCATCGGGCACCAACGACACGGCAGACCTCTTCGTGACCGAGGAAGAGCGGCGCAGGTGTGTATACCGCCGATGCGCCCACACCAAGGGAACCAACACACATTATGTGTGTGAATTGGCCCTTGCTGTCTCTCTCCCTCTCTCTCTCTGTCTCTGTGTGCATGTCATGTAGGCACATGGCGAAGTGGTCCGAGGATCTGGAGCGGCACAAGCGGGAGATGTACGGCAAAATGGCCAACTCGGGAAACCACCAAGGGGGGAATAGTAATGGGCGAGATGGATAGCTCAGCCAGCCTCCCTCCAGAGAGAGATAGACAGATGACATTTTGCGCAGCTGGAGGGATACACGTGTACACAGAAAGAGGGGGCGCGCGAACGCGTTTGCATCTTTGTGGGTGAAACAAACTGTGCACTGTGTCTGCGCGAGAGAAAAAGAGACAGACAGACAGACAGACATTGCAGATGGGATAGGATGGCGTCGCGTGCACCGCTCGCCTGTCTCTCGTTTTGTTCGACGCGTGGATGGATGGATGGATGGGTCGATGTATGTGTGCTGCTACGTATGGCGCTGCCCGACGAGGCCTCGGCCACACAGCACACGACGGTGCAATCGTGTTCTCGTCGCTGAGCTCTCGGTTGGTGATGACATGAGCAGCAGCAGCAGCGTGATGATTTGGCTGTGGCTGCAGTGGTTCAGCTGAGGGAGGGAGGGTGGTGTCTATACGCAGACACAGAGAACAGAAGGGTCTCGTCTCTCTTTTTTCAGTCAGTCGTGTGTGTATAAATGACCCACCGACCATTTGTGTCAATCGTCGCGCATATGCAGTCTGTCAGTCGGACGTGCGCGCCATCGGCCGACTGTGTCACCATTGCGTGCTCAAGCACTACATCACACGCACTCGCACCCTTCCACTTGAGCACGAGTGTCTGTCGATGCGGTGCCTGAGCATGCAATCGAGACGCAGACAAACACAGGGGCCGCCAGGCTCAGCTCCATTCATTCATTCATTCAATTCAATTCGCCACACAAAAAGACCTCCATTCGTCCCTCTAATTGTTTCCGCAACTGGGTATAGCATCAGCTGCCCATCGCCGCCCCGACACCGACACCCACACCCAGCACGCCATACGAACTGTCGGCCTTCCTAGGCCCTTCCTGCGACGCCTGCAAGACCACAACACACACACACGCAGCGGGCGTGGGTGAAGGTCTTGTGTGTGAGAGTGTGCACCAACCATTGGGAGTCGTTGGACGCCGTTGCTGGTGCTGGCGGATGGTGGGGGGTTACTGCCACCGTTGGCAAAGGGCCGCCGCTCGACGAGCTCACGCGAGGCACTGGTGGTACCTGCAGCCACACACACACACACACACACACACAGAGAGAGAGAGAGAGAGAAAGAAGACCAATTTGTGTACACACATTTCTGAGGCGTGGGTGTGGGGTACACTACCATTGTCACGCAGTGGGCTGGCGGACTGTCTCTCTCTCCTCTCTGTGCACACACACATCCAGCCATCCACTCATCCATCTGGGTGGACATACACACACCTACCGGCCTGTGTGTGGTTGTGGTTGAGTGTGCCAATGCCGTTGCCGCTGTCCGTCCGAATGCTGTCGCACTCATTGCTGCTGTGCCTGGGGTTTCCCGCCTCGGCGTCGATGGGCGCATTGCTGTAGCTTCCGGCGTCCTGGTGGGTGTTGAGGGGCACACCAGGCTGCTCGCCAGCCAGGTCACCCAGGTCAGCATCTGCACACATATAGAGAGGCAGAGAGAGATACGTGTGTGTGAATGGACGGCCGATTCGTCCATGCGTGTGTGTGTGTGTACCGTCGTCAGTGCTGGCTGTGTGTCCTTTCAAAAAGGGCAGCAGAGACTTCTCGCGGTAGAAGGCCAGCAGCACGGGAACTGACACACACAGAGCCGAGCCATCCCTAGGCTGTGTGTGTGCATTCATTCTCGTCAGACGCACTTGTGGTCATGGGCACCAGATACAACAGAGCAGGCTGAGGGTAGTGAAACACGGCCACCTGCACAGACACAGGCAGAAAGAGCCATCTTTTCTCTCTCATATGCCCTGCCCACGCAGGCATTGCATCCGTCACCGTCTGAGTTGCTTACGGCTATCGATGCGCTGGCCAGTCCGGCCACATAGCCAACGAAGAAGCAAACCAACGGCGCGCGCAATGGCGGCTGTCCACACACACACACACACACACACAGATGGCAAGAGACACACGTGTGCAGAAGTGTCAACGGGCAACCATACCAGGTAGTTGCCGACGGCATTTCTGCAGACATAGATGGCGAGGAATGCGGGCACGATGATGTCGCCCAGGCCGAGCATGCTGTAGTGCACACTGCCGTCATCCTTCATGCCCACGGGCAGCATGATCTTCACTGCACACACACACATGTGGATGGATGGATGGATGTGTGTGTGGGGGGGGGGGGGGGGGT